GGTTGTGTGTGTGTATGTGTGTATAGTGGTGTGTTTGTGGTGTGTGTGTGTGGTTGTGTTGTGTTGTGTGTGTGTGTGTGTGTTTGTGTGTTGTGTGTGTGTTGTGGTTGTAGTGGTGTGTATTGGTGTATAGTGGTGTGTGTTGGTGTGTATTGGTGTATAGTGGTGTGTAGTGGTTGTAGTGGTGTGTAGTGGTGTGTTGTGGTGTGTTGTGGTGTATAGTGGTGTGTTGTGGTGTGTGTTGGTGTGTTGTGGTGTGTAGTGGTGTGTAGTGGTTGTAGTGGTGTGTATTGGTGTATAGTGGTGTGTTGTGGTGTGTTGTGGTGTGTTGTGGTGTGTAGTGGTGTGTAGTGGTTGTAGTGGTTGTCGTGGTGTGTATTGGTGTATAGTGGTGTGTTGTGGTGTGTTGTGGTGTGTAGTGGTGTGTAGTGGTTGTAGTGGTGTGTATTGGTGTATAGTGGTGTGTTGTGGTGTGTGTTGGTGTGTATTGCAGTTGTAGTTTAGTGCGTGTGGATGATGTTTTATGCACCGCGTGGTTCATAACTCTGGAGTAAAGATGTCTCCCAGAGCAGAGGAAGCAGCTCCATCATAAATCCACTTTAAAGAGTCTCTCTGCTCTACATCTGTGTCTGTGTCGTACATCTCTGTCAGTGTCAGACACAGTACTCACAAAAGAATACTTCTACAATAAATATTACTGCAGTTACTCAAGTACAAGTACAAGACTGAAAGGATAAGTATAAAGAAGTATTTGGTGAAGATACGTACTTTAAGACGCCAGTGTTGTCACGATAGTATCAAAATCGAGTTTGAAGGGCGTCCTGCCACCTCGTTGTCTCCATGGAGATGTTATTACCTTACCTGTAATGTTCCACAGCAAATTACCAGAAATTTGAACTTGCTTTCTAAAAATACCTTGAAAAACATGAACCAGACTTGCTTCTCCACAGAGCCGACCTGTAACTCGTCTTGGTAGCGTCACATATTTGTATCCATGCATGGAGCTGGTAAGTTTCCATAGCCTGTACCCCATGTATCTGAGCAAAATGTGACATGCCCCAGTACAGATATATATCATATAAGCAGCTCTCGAGGTCAAAATATATACACTGTGTGCTATTTTCATGTAATTATCAGAGACCAGGAAGATTACAGTTAGCATGCTAGTTGCTGTGACTGAAAACTTTGTCTCTGATCTCTGAAAATTGTGAAAAGTGCCTAGAAATTCATATAATTAGGATGCTCGGAATGCTTTGGACCACTGCAAACAGTTTAAATGAACTAAAAATGCCTCACTCTGGAACATTAGGCAGAGCAGTCTCCATGGAGACAAGTAGGTGTTAAACTTTCCACCAAATAAAGTGCATAATGCGGCTTTAAAGGCTTTATATTACATAAAAATTACTGAAATTGTTTTTAGCCGTGTCAGAATGTTGTTATCTCATCAAAAACACACGTGGAGTTGTGTTTTCTTTCATTCACACAGTTTTTATTAATCCTCCTTTACTCAACTGTCTACATGTCCAAAGCTTGAAATGCTCTGTTCCTGTTTGTGATGGGCTGAAATCAGATTATTCTAATGAAGGTGTATAGAGTTTAAAAACCCAGTGGAGCGCTTCCTGTATGACCACATGACATCATAAGTGTAACAGAGAAGTAACAGAGTACTTTCAGTTTGAGACTAAAAGTGCAGGGTTTGTGTGTTAAACATGTGAATGAAACAAAACACAACTGCAGGCCTATTTGTGATGAGGAAACTACATTAGAACACAGGTCAGAAAACAACGTTGTATGGGCTCGTTCAGTACAAGTAAAAAGTATGGTGTCAAAAAGTACTGCGCAAAGTACAAGTCAAAGTAAATAGAAGTTTGAACTGTGTCTCCATGGTTCTGACTTGTGCTCTCTCTGGTGTGTGGGGCTGTGTGAGTCCTGCTTTGACACTGGTCTAGTCATTCTTTTCTTAAAGAGCACTTGATGAAATATTGATGCTAAAGCGTTACGTGCAGATCTGTGTGTAATAGGCCTCCTGAGCCAGTGGAGCAGCCCGGCTTTATTAAAGGAGACATCTTGTGCTAAATAACTTTAAACTGTAAGGAGCTCAGCTGAGGCCAGTCTATCCGTCTTTTGAGCAACTTCAAACTCCAACCAACTACTGTTGTGTCCTTAGGCAAAGCATTTCATAATGTCTAATATGAACATGATGTGTGAGTGATTGGTGATGGTGGGTGGGGCAGCTGTGGCTACAAAAGAAGCTTACCACCAGCAGAGTAGTGTGAAAGTATTTTCTACATCCAAGGTAATATAATAATACAAGTTCTGAATCATTGTAAAATGGGGTGAAGAGTGAGGGGAGACATTAGGGCTGACATTGAGCTCTGTCTGTGTTATGTGTGAGATTGTGAATCGTTTAAAGCTGCTCTGTTTTCCAACAGACTTTTTGGCACCTTCTCCTCCTCAACAGAGTGTGACAGACACATCACAGTGAAGTGTGAGCTGGCTTTAGGGGCCGGTACCACAGGGGCCGGTACCACAGGGGCCGGTACCACAGGGACTGGGAGTACCGTGTTTGCAGCTTGCACTGCACCTTTGCAAGTGCAGGTGCGTGCAGGTGCGTGCAGGTGCGTGCAGAGGCTGTGTACAGTTGCTTTGGCATTTTTACTTCTAGTTGTATTTGCAAATATGAGACTGAAGGCCTAGGTCCCAAGGGCACAGTTTGCCACTACTCTACAATACCTTTTTCTAACTGACAAATGATAAAAGTAGACAGAATTTGCGACACAAGTAAGTGCCTCAGAACAACCTGTGAGGAGCACACCACACACTGTGTGCACCGGGCCAGTCCACACTTTAGTTTTGGCAGTGAGTGCTAATGGGACCTGAGCCACTATTCTGTCTCACATCCACAGCGACTGCAGTAGTCTCTGTCAGTAGTAGAAGTCTCTTTGTTTCTATGATGTAATGTCATTGGCACAGAGTCTTTTGGGGACTGTCCTAACGATGATGTCCAGGACACATTATTCATGGTCATAAACCTACCTGTAAATGTATTGTTTAAGGTTCAAATATCTCACAAAATGTGAAAGAACTGTAACATTAAAACAAAGACTGTATAAAGAATCTGCAGCATTTGGCTTTGATTTTGTATGAAAATTACATACATTTTACTAACAAGGGAACTCACAAAGGAAATGACTTGGACACAGTAGCTCACATATCAAACTATATTACAATAACAAAGAGAGAAAAGAAAAAAATATATATATATGTGTATATATATGTATATATGTGTGTGTATATATATATATATACACACACACACACACACATATATATATATATGTATGTATATATATATGTGTGTGTGTATATATATATATATATATATATATATATATATATATATATATATATATATATATATATATATTAGATAGATAGATAGTCAGGAGATTGTGTTAAAGGCACTGGAGAAATCAGAAAAAAACTACTCACAGACCCAGGTCTGAGCTGAGCCAAAACAAGTCTCTCAAACACTTTCATGAGACGTCATGTCTCCATTGTGATATTGTAATCTGTATATTGAGTGGAGTCCGTAGTACTGACATAGAGTTTGAAACTGTAGTATTGTGCCAGCACCATAGACTGTATAAAGAAGTATATATTAAGTCTATGGTCAACTCTGTTGGCTCATTTGTCAGTCAAGCCCATGTAAACTGGAGGACACTGGACTGTATGGTAGAAAATGAAAGCCTGCAGGCTTGGATTTGGCTGGCCAGACCACTGCAGCCCTGTCCATAGGTCACACATTTAATCACAGCTTTCTATAGCTCTATAAGCACCTCAATCTATATCAAAATGACATCATAGGCCTATAGGCCCATACACATCATTACACAGGAGTGGTTTCACTGTGGGAGGGAGGCAGCGGTGTGATGGATGTGACCCCTGAGCCTGTGAATGATCACTTCTAATCACGCTGTTGGAGCACTATATAACACATGTATTATACCCAGTGTGCCCACGCAGCTTCCTTAAAGGGCCTATATTACACAAAGTGGACTCTGGTAGCTTTAAGCCATGTTATAATACTGTTACCTCCTCCAAAACACACCTGGAGTTGTGTTTGTTTCATTCACACATGTTTGAGTAACACTTTATTACTAGTCTGTCTACATTTCCAAAGCTCCAAATACTTTGTTCCACCTTGTGATGTCATGTAGTGGTAGTTTTCAAGTTAACAGCTCCTTTTACCTTTAGTTCAGTAGAGACTGACAATTGCAGAGTGTTTTCGGTTTGAACTCAGCCTAAATAGGCAGAGCTTGTGTGTTGTGGGAATGAAACAAAACACAACTTCATTTATATTTGTGACGAGGAAACAACATTATAAGATCAGAAAATGGCAGAAGATGGGCCTTTTAAGGTGCTGCTGGTGTGAGACAGGCTCTGCTCCCTCGGCGTGCACTATGTCTGATTAAAGTGTGCTCTGAAGAGTGGGACTGTGCTGCTTTGGTGCATCCATCTTGTTAAACAGATTGTGTTTGGTGACTGGGCGCTCACATGACTGTGGTTGTGAGTGATCAGACAAAGTGTGGCCCCTGGCTCCCATATAAATGCAGAGGAGACTGAATGACAACTGATCTTAAACGAGACATGTTACGCAAAATCTACTTTTTATACATTTGTATAATTGTTTCTATTCTCATTTACCCTGTCAAGGTTGTATTTAGAGTGATTCATGTATTTGAGTAATCTTTATTCTCCTGTTTTCAAGGCCTCATGCTCTAATGTGATGTGCAGCTCTCATACTCAGGGCCCACAGCATGCAGCGCTTTGTTGTCATGACGTTTGCAGGCAGACGGTAATTTACTTTTCCAACCGAGAAGTCGTGGACTCGTTTTTTGGAGTAATTTTAGATCAATATTGTGATTTTCAAAGTAGTGCGCAGACACCAGGGCAATAGGTCTTCTTTAATAATCCATATGTGTGTGCTCTCTCCACAGTATGAGTTCAAGGTGAAGAACATCAAGAAGAAGAAGGTCCACATCATGGTGTCCACAGACGGTGTGAAGGTGGCGCTCAGGAAGAAGAAGAAAGTGAGTGCACTACAAATACAAATATCTCTTGGTGATATTCTAGTATACATATAAAACAGATTATAGCTTGTAGAGAAAACATCGAGAGCAAGTTAAGGCTGCAACAACTCAAGTGAATAATCCTGAGTCCTGATTTGTGGACTATGAAAATAATGGTAACTGTTTTTGAGGTTATTGTAACTGGATTATACCAGGGCTTAACCATTTGGAGAAAAAAACTAAGAATTATGATTTATGTTTTAATGATGGATTCTGTTCAAAGTTCACATTTTAAACACTTCCAGAAGAACAGACTTTTCAGAACATGTTTGTACAAACTTAAGATACAAGGTTAGCAGTTTTTATTCGGAATAAGACCCATGGAGACACAGAGAGGGCATCTGACACACAGGGAGGGCACCTGACACACAGGGAGTGCACCTGACACACAGGGAGTGCACCTGACACACAGGGATATTTCAGAACATGTTTGTACAGACCTAATCTACAGGGTTTACAGTTTTTATCCAGATTAAAACAGGAAATTCTTGTTTGTGGATGAATTGGTGATACTTCAAATTCCAGTGTTTATGATTTTGTAATTAAAATTCTGTTGTGAATTATCTTTCAGCCCTAGGCTATACACATCTCTTTATAACAAAGACAGTGGTATTATTAAAATAAAATGTCAAAAAATAGTAATCAGCTGCCTGCACGCCTTTAAACACCATCAACTGACAGTAGAGATCAGCAATTCCAGGTCTGAAATAATCCATTTGATTCTAGTGAAGGTGTATGGATTTTCAAAAAACACTGGAGCACTTCCTGTATCACCACATGACATCAGAAGGTGGAACAGAGTGTTTCCAGTTTGAGAGAGGAACTCAGTCTAAATGTGCAGGAGTTGTGTGTTAAACATGTGAATGAAACAAAACACAACTCCAGGTCTGTGTGTGATGAGGAAACCACATCATAACATAGATAAAAAAAAATAGTGCAGTACGGGCCCTTTAAATATAAACTACATTCTGACGGTTAAACAGTGATTTTTACCACAGAATTCTGACCTCCTGAGTTTGACTGAATCCAATTTCATACAAATCTGTTTTCTCAAAGGCATTTCTCTCACTGGATAGCAAAGATCTTCACCTCGCACCAATCACACCACACAGCCCGCACTTTCAAGGATGTGTGGATTCTTGGTTTTATTGAGTTATTTTTTCACTCAAAATACAAGGCGAAAGTTGAATTTCAATATAATTTTTGTCAAATCTAGCTCACTCAAACACTTGAAGCAAAAGTTTCAATTTGATGACTCCACACTTCACAGTACTTAGTCAAAAACAGATCGATTGTGCAACAAAATAAAACAATGACTTCAAAATCCCAATATGAATAATGGGCATTAGTAACTCAAATAGCAGCAGATTTGAAAATGTAGTTTAGACCTCTACAAACATGTTGTGAAATACATGGGATTCTTGGGGAGTTAGCATTAGCAGTTCAGACTTCAGTCTCTCAAATCCCCCAAAACTATTCTAAATGTACACTATTGTTAAAATATGAACTGTCATATACACAGCAGACTGAAAGTCAATAGTTTGTGTCTATAACGAATCATAGAAGTGATTCACTCAACCCTCTAAGCTCAAATCACATGGAAGTAGCAAAGAACAAAAGTCTCCCCACTAGTTCCCCTGATAAATATTGAATCAGTAGAGTAATGCGGAGGATAGACCTGCCTGTGATGAAGCTTAGAGAGACAGTGCGGATGTTACAGGACACATGTGGTGAATGATGAGCAGATGTTTGAGATGTACAGAAGCAGTCTGATTGTGATGAAGAGTTCCTCCTCCACTCTTGTGATCCACGTCAGTCTCAGAAGACACGTGGAGATTAGAACAAGAGTATGTCCAGAGGCTACAGAGACCAGTGCAGAGGACATGTACTGCAATACACTGTATCGGTACTCGGCTCTGGGTCTGCGGGGGAACAGGGGAAAGTGGAGGTCAGGTTAGTTATCTTTAGACTACCTGTACACACAGGAATTATTTTCCAAACAGATTTAAGTATTTTTATAGCAGTATCAGTCTGGTCCCCAAGCCCTCTGCTGTGTCTCAAACCCCCACAAACAGCATCGTCCAATCAGATTTGTTTAATTCAGTGACACATGTAAAATGAAGGAGCTCACTGGTCACTGGTGATTTACAAATAAAATTGAATTTCTCTCTCAAATGAACAGTTTAATGCTTCGATCATTGATTTAATGTTTTTCAGCCCCAAGCTGTGATTTTTTTTTTTTAAATTGTATTTTTTCTGATACAATCAGTGTAACTGAATACATGTACAGAGAATATGTATTCTGAATACTAACTTTGAGTTACTTTTTCATTAGTATTTAGATACAGTTACTTTCTAAAATTTAAAGGAATACATTGTGGTATTTGATCATTTGATTTAGACTTCAAACTGCACAGTCAGTGGTGAGGCATGTAACTTTACACATAGAGGGTCCATCACCTTGTCACCTTGTCACCTTGTCACCTTGCTCGTCTCCATGGAGATGTTATTGCTTTGCCTATAATATTCCACAGTGTTACATTAAACATATCTGATGTCATCGAGACAAGCAGGTGACATGATCAGGCCCAATGATAGGTCATATCTGTAGAGACGTCGACCTTGCTCATTGTGAGAATGTCTGTTTTGGGCAAAAAAACCCAAACAAATAAAAAAAGAAAAACACCTGCAATTTCTAAATGTAAGATATATAGGTTTAACTCATGCTATTGTACATACTAGTCAAAGATGTCTCCATGGAAACAGTTATTATTTTATGTACTATGGCTATGGACATTTTGATGAACTTGCATGTTCCAGTGTAAAGCTTATTTATCATCATATTTATAAATGAAACTGAAAAAGCTAGAGCAGATTTATGTCAGACAAAGCCTTCACTGTCAGTGATGCTTTCACTGGTGATGCCTTCACTGATGATGCCTTTGATTGATTGATTAATTACATTTATATAGCACCTTTCAAGATACCCAAAGCACTTTACAGTTCATTATTCAGTCACTCCACACTCAGTGGTGGTAAACTACTATTGTAGCCACAGCTGCCCTGGGGCAGACTTGGCTGGTGATGCATTCACTGGTGATGCCTTGACGAGCGATGCCTTCATGGGCAATGGCTTTCACTAGTGATGTCTCCACTGGTGATGCCTTGACTGTCTGCCCAGAGTGTGGGTGGATGCAGTTTGTCTCCACACATCCTGAATGTCAGTGTTGTCCTTCCCTTCAGCGTAGAGCAGAGTGATACAGATCAGTGAGAGGAATCCTGTGCTTCCACCTGACATTTAAGTGTGGCGTCAAAGCACAAACAGATTGGCTCTGAGTCAGATGTAAATGTGGAGTCTCTGATAGAGGAGCGCTGGAGTGTGACAGAGGAGCTGATAGAGGAGTGACGGATGAGGCGGGGTATTCTTCTATTGTCAGGGATGTGATAATGGAGCTGCATGCGCTCTGGTGACGTCCAAACGTTCTAAAGGAGTTTGAAAATGAGATGAAGAGATGATTTTACATGGGAGAAAGTGCAGATGTTTGGTGCTGGTTCCTGATTAATATTTTTGTAATAAGAGGTCTGCTGGATTTTCTTTTCAGATATTTCTTTCACAAAAGAGTATAAGCATGTGAAACTTTTACAAAATCAGTCCAACATAGATTCTGAATCTTTTTCGTACAGCCAGTATCTCGTCATCTTCATCTTAAATATCTGAAATCAGATACTTGAAATTACATATGGCAGGTTAGACTCATTCCATTAAAGATACACTTTTTGGAGCTTTCTAACATATTATGACATTGTTCTGAAGAGGTGTTAGATGTCATCCATGCATGTTTGCATAATCTAGCAATCTCTCCTGGGTTCTATTCAAACCCTTCTTACAGTTAGTAGTACAATACTGTCCAATGCTCAGCCCACAATTCAACATTTTCATATCAACACATGGTAAGATGGTGTTGATAAGTCAAAGGTAACTTCTTGGGATCACTTTCGAACTCACCACACCTTCAGTTCACCCAGTTCAGAGACACCAGTCTCAGTGAGATGAGCACAGTATGATGCCTCTCTAAATCTGGGCTCATTGAATATTGTACTGGGGAGAGGCAGGACGGAGTACCCCAAAACCTCTTTTAAAGATGTAGTACATACAAAGAAAAAGGTTTACAGTTTACAAGTGGCTGGAAAGCATCTTTGCATGTTACAAGGTTTATAACCTGCACTAATCTAAGAAGATGCAGTCATTGGATCATCAAGGCCATCAAAGAAACATGAGGCTGCAGTCACCCCTTGGTCAAGGAGGAGAGTCCAGGAGTCCAGGCTCCTTTGGCAGTGAAGCTGAGGTGGTGATCAGGAGAAATCTCTGCTTTTCTCCATCGGACACTGCACATTAAGACATTAGGTCATGAAGATATCAGAGATCTGAACTTTCAGGTGAAGTTTCAAGTGAAAGCGCAGCCCCCACAGTGTGTGGTCAGCTGCAGCAACAGTGTGTACTCTGCATGTTGTGAAGGTGCATGATGTTCTGTGAGGACCACAGGTCGACCTAGAGGAACTTTGGCCTTGTGGTTATATGACCTACATGTAAACGTCAGGTTATTTGAGCTTTTACAAACACCTGTACAAGGTCTGCCTTTTTGAGTTCACGTCACATGACACACAGTACATTACTGAAATAGATGAAACACAAAAACATATCACTTCATTGAAATGAAGAAAATAAATGAAGACGTATACAAGTGCATTATGAAATATAAAAATTATTTATAAACCAAAAAACAAGAACAAACATTTTAACAGCAAACTGAGTGCCACCAGTTGGCAGTCTTCTCAACACTTCATAGGGGGTTGGAGTTAATACCCCATAGAAGCTCCGACTTTAAACGATCAGTATCTTAAGAATTAGTTAAACATCTTTTAAAGTTTTTCCTAGTTTGTCTTTTTACATAAACTGTCCCTGCATTTTGGATCAAACTGTGTGAATGACATAGATAGAAAGATGATTTTTTAGAACTCAGCGCTGCTGCCTGTAATTTTCAACTTTTTTCAGCTTTTCATCTCAATGTCGTACTTGATGGATGCAAAACTAAAACTGAGATTTCCCACCTGCACTCGTCCCGCTGACCAGAGTGACTCTTCCTAAGCGTTCATATGCACAGAACAGTTTGCAGAAAACCTCATGTGCATTATTTATGAACCATCCACCTACAGTATATACTCAAGTGAATATTACATGAGCTGAATGTAGCAATAACACAATATTAAAATAGAGGGAGATTTAAATATGGTTTGAACCTTATGTGTGTTTGTTTGTGTGTGTGTTTAATTATGTGTGTGTGTGTGTATGTATTTGTGTGTTTGTTTTATGTGTGTGTACTTGTGTGTTTTCAGAAAAAGGAGTGGACGTGGGACGAGAGTAAGATGATGGTGATGCAGGACCCAATCTACAGGTAGGACACACACACACACACACGCACACACGCATGCACACACACACACACACGCACGCACACGCACGCACACGCACACACACACGCACACACACGCACGCACACACACACACACACACACACACGCACGCACACACACACGCACACACACGCACGCACACACACGCACACACACACGCACACACACGCACGCACCACCACACACACACACACACACGCACACACACACACACACACGCACACACACACACGCACACACACACACGTCACTGCAGAGGAGCAATCATCTTTATCTTCTCACTTTTATACAGAGAGCTCTCATCAAACCTGGAAGATGAACCTAACATAGCGCCGTATTGTTTTCAGTGGCCTGTGCTCATTGGCACATGGGCGCAAAAAATGTCACTTCCACATTTCCTTCTTCAGTATGTGTGTGTGACGTGTGACGTGTGTAACGTGCACGGTGTGGAGCGTTTGGACCAATCAGAGCGGGAGCTGCTAGAATGGAGCTAGCACAGGCTCAGAGCAGTGAGGCTCAGTCTGACAAAAATCACTTTGAGGTGCGTTGAGGATTTAAACATTTTAAAAAGTTTATGAAAACAGAAAAGAATCCCTACAAAATCCGACCTTTGTGAAAGCCCGATGCCCTGTCAACCGAACACGGGCAGTTTGAATTCCCAAGATGCATTGTGCTTCTGTGGGAGAGATCTTTCTGGGGACAAGTTCTGGGAGCTGCAGTAGCTGGAGCGGCCACTAGTCTGTCTGGAGCCGGGACAGAGGGCGAGGGGCCTATCCAGAATTGATTACAGATCCAGGCTTTTACAGCTCAAACAGAAATACCTCATCTGAATTATAGTAAAAATAAAAAGAGCAAAAATAGCTTGACCTGGTGTGACTGAACAGAGCGTGCTCATTTACTGTAGGTCACTGAACCTTCAGCCCACGTTCTGTGCACACGGAGCAGCCACACTGGAGCTACACAAACCATGGTATAAATCAGGGGTGTCAAACATACGGCCCGGGGGCCAGATCTGGCCCTCCAACACCTTTAATCTGGCCCTCAGCTGATTTTCTACTAAAATATTTCAGTTATATTTTCTATTAAAATAATTATTTATTTATTTATTTTTAGTTAATTTTCTGTGGTGCTGAGCACAGCAGCTTCTCCAGTGTCTCTGTACGTGGCCCCTCCCATCAGAGCAGCACAAATGAAGACTAGTCTCTTTCCAAACGCTCTTAAAGGACGATCATTTTGACTGTTGACCGTGACACCCTCATCAGAAAAATGTCAAAAATGAGAAAAGTGGAACCGAGTGCAGGATTTTCCAAGAAAATTTGACTTATTCCTATTTGCAAATTCATGTTAAAACATTATGTTGAAATTGAATTTAAAGTTTCAGGTTGTTCATAATATTATAATATTTTGTAAGTGTTTGTCAATGAAAAAGATTTCTATAATAGATTTGAGTTTCTCTGCACAAATATTTGAATTTATTGTTATTTTTGGGGTTTATATACCATGAGTTTTCTGATCTGGCCCCTTTGGGATCGAAGTAGGTTGGATACAGCCCCTGGAACAAAATGAGTTTGACACTCCTGGTTTAAGGAGAGTCAGGCATCATACAGGCCACAGTCCAATCTGCTGTAGTCCCAAACAACACCAAAAAGCTTCTAACTGCAATATATTCTCTGAGTTTGGGTCCTAAATAGTACATTTGAGTGCAAATAGTAAAGCAAATCCAGAACGGTGCTTTTAAAGTGAGTGGGTCATGCGTGGGTCATGCGTGGGTCATGCGTGGGTCAGATGTGTCTTTGATCCTGACTCGGATTGGATGGGTCAGATTATGCACAGGCAATTTGGGTGAAGTGTCTTGTCCTTTGACACAACAGCAGTATACACTGGTCAGAGCTGGGGTTGAATTCTGAAACCTTGTACTCTGTACACCATATATTCTTGCACCTGTCTGTACACCTGACAGCCATGCACCTGTCTGTACTCAGTGAAGTTAGAGGACTTCCGGATTTGTCAGTGCTTCCTGGGGTAAGAGAGAATTGTATTACCCTCACAGTGAGACAGAGATGGAAAGATTAACATGCATGAATGAAACTAAACTCTACTGCAGGAACTAGTTTGTTAAACTGGGAATGACCTCAGTTAGCATCAGTGTTAAAGCTACCCACGGCTGAGTGATCCCAGTTATCATGAGGGCTAAAGCTCCTCGTGTGTGAGATCAGATGTGTGCAGTGAGGCTGTCAAGAGCACGGCCACACTTGTCTTCTATTCTAACTACTAGTAGAGAAACTGAGAGGACTGAGGATTGAAGTATTGTTTTTAGGCATGCACCGATTCACGTTTTTAAGTTCCTATAACATGATGATACTTTGACTTAAGTATTTGCTGATACCTGATATCAACCAATACCAGGGTGAAAACTGAAAATAGTATTTGTTTACTTTAATTTCCTTAATTCTTCCTTTATTTCCTGTTTCATGTTCATGAAATGAGGGATGAACCAAAACAACCAGGAGCTACAGAATCAGACGATAAATGGACTGCATATTTTCACAATAGTTGTTTTCTAAAAGCAAAAAATGAAAATTCAAGGACTTGGACAATGATTATGAAAATAACTGAGGTCCAACCAGACCATGGGCCAAAATATGACTAAACCTCCAAGTCATTACAGGCTTCCATTTCTTTACAAATACATGAAACCCATTTGCACTTTCATGTTTACGAAGTTGAAATGGTTGATGGAGTATGAAGTTTTGAAAATCAGATAATAATCGAAGCTACAATTAGAAATGAAACTGAATACTCATTTAAGCACGTACTGATACTAAGAAACTACTACCATTTACCAAGTACTACCATTTAATTGAAAGTTTAACCATTTAATCAATGCTCTGCTGGCACAAACGCATTAGTAGTTAATATTTTTTGTTTTTAAATTTACACAACAGTTTGGAATTTTGGACATAGGGCCTCATTTCCTAGTGATCCAGAGTGTTGGGGATGTTTAGAGACACTTTTTGAAATCTTCCATCCAGTCCTTGTATTTGCAGAGGTCGCTGGTGCTAGGCTAGTGCATGTCAATTGTCATAGTTCTCCTGCCACTAAAAACAGTCTTACCCAGTCCACAAAACACCGAAACAAATCTATTATTACACCAGACTGTCCATGTAAATGTCTGTGTCGATAGAATAATGTTTGAAATAAATTGTCACATGAATCTTCACATGTTGAGGGACTATTTTCTCAGCAGCAGCGGAATTTTACTTTGCCGGTAAGATCGGTGCTAGGCAGTGTTGGGAAAGTTCATTTTCTACAGGAACTAGTTCAAAGTTCAGTTCACAAATTTCAAAATGAACTAGTTTGTTCATAGTTCATAATTGTTTATAGGTAATAGTTTGTTCATAGTTCCAAAAATGAAATAGTTCAGTAGTTTTTTGTTTTTTTTTCAATATGTTGCTGTGAGCTATTAGGCCAAAATCATAAATATATGTTATGAATATATGTATTATATATAGACTATATATTATTATAACAAATGCCAGAAACAGTCATTTTGCTCAATAGATGAACTATATTTATCAGCCAAGCGCAGTTTACACAGCGGCACAACCTGATCCACCTCTCACAACAACATCAGCAAAACTACAATATGAGGCTACAGTCACAACACAAACATACGACACCAGCACCGCTCCTACAGCACACGACAGAACAACCAGAACAGCTCCATCACACCCACCAGCTCATTTATCCACTATTTACCTGTGACGCTTCATCCTCAGATTTGCCCTAAACTAACAAAAACAAGCCACTTCACTTCTCCAGAGGACGGACACAGAATGTTTCCTCTCTCCACTGTCCCATTGGGTCTGTCTCCAAAAGTCTATTGTCCAATATGATGAGATCAAACTGGTCCATGTACAGAGAGGACAGCGGCTCTATCTGCAGGAGACATGCGCAGAAGAGCCAAGTGTTTTGTCTTGTTTTAATGACGCATGCGGCGATGCAAATGAACCATGCGATTTTAAGTTTCATTTCTGTAAAACGTAAACAAGTGTGTGCAAAACAGCATTAAACACATATAATATATCATCTCAAACAGGCTGATGTGGCTCTAGAGTGGTTATGGTGTACATGTTGTAAAGTTGAGTTTATTTATGCAGATTAGTAATAGTAATAATAATGATGATCATTTTAATATAAAAACGTTAATGAACACGAAGAAAGAGAAGGACATGCATGCAGCTTCCGCTCATCCCAGTATTATATTATAATATAGGTTTTAATTGAAAATGTATTAGCTGTGTTTCTTTATATGTACAAATGCACATTTTCAAAGGTGACTTGGTGTGTTGGCATATGTTGGCTATAAGTGGCTCTCCTCTTGATTTTGCTTTTCCAATGTGGCTCTTGTCAAAAAAAAACAAGTGAATATCACTGACATAGAGAAACGACTACTGAAAGTCCATAGACAATGGCAACTCTTGAAGAAAAACATGAATCGTGGATCTGGCACATCAAGCAAATGAACTGCAGCTCAGCAAAAACCTAGATCAGTTGTTGGATATTCTCATCAAGATGTTGACAAACCGATTGAGCTAATAGAAGACAGAGAGTTCCTCACCAACCAAAGAAAAAACAAGGTTGCAAAGGAAACATGACAGGTATAGATAAAGAATGGGCCAGAAAACAGAAAAAGTATAAACAAGAGAAAAGAAGCTTTGCAGCAATGCTTTACTCTGATTCAGAAACTACAATTGAAGATTCTGAATCATCAGATACCACCACCAGACTACCCTTAAAGAGAAAAGGGCATAACAACTTTGAGACAAGGAAATCTCTTTTATCAAATGATGTGACGACTGCTTTAGACAGGTTCAAAATCACTGATCGCCAAGCAGTCTGCTTACTTGGAAGTGCAGCACATTCTCTTGGTCACAGTGTTGAAAATGTGACACTGAGCTCAATTCTTCAGGCAAGATTA